TTTATCCCATTCACATTCACAGTTATGATTGTGCCTATGTCTATTCTCCCTCCTATTTGTCATCTTTCTCATTTTACACTTTCTCTCCTCACCAGTGTTTTGTTTCTGTCTACCACCTCCACTGATCTGTTCTCCCTACTGTCAGTGGCTATGCCCATCCCCTTTACTTAATCTTCTCCCCTCCTACTTCCCTGTTGGGTAAGATACATTTCTATATTCAATTGATTGGTTATATTATTACCTTTTTAAACCAATACTGATGAGAGTAAGGTTCGAGTGATGCCCATCAACCACCCTCCTATTTTATCCACCACTGTAATAGGTCTTTTTCACTTCTTCATGTCAGATAATTTACCTCATTCTACCTCTCTCTTCCTTCTGTACCCATTATGCTCCTCTTTCTCATCCCTCAATTGTTTTATGTCATTCCCTCAAATTCATCTTATACCCATACCCTCTATCTATGTATAGTCCTTCTATCTGTACATACAGATATACATACAAATAGTGATGTAGTTTTGTTTTTTTTAAGAGTTACAACTATCATCTTCCTATGTAGGGATGCAAACAGTTTAGCTCTGTTGAATCCCTTATGTTTTCTTTTCTTTTTTTACCTGTTTATGCTTCTCTTGGGTTTTGATAGGAGAGGTCAAATTTTTGGTTTAGTTCTTGTCTTCTCCTTACAAAAGCTTGAAATTCTTCTACTTCATTGGATGACCTGTTTCTCCCTTGATGTATCATGTTTAATTTTTCCAAATAAGTGATTCTTCGTCTTTACCCTACAGAATATCATGTTCCATGACACTGATCCTTCAGTGTTGAAGTTGCCAAGTCCTGTGTGATAATGATTTTGACTCCTCAATATTTGAATTGTTTCTTTCTAGTCATTTGCAGTATTTTTTCCTTGACCTGATAGTTCTGAAATTTGGCATAAGGTTAGTTGGGGTTTTTATTTTGGGATCTCTTTCTGAGGTGATCAGTGGATTCTATCAATACCTATTTTGACCTCTGGTTCCAGGACACCTAAGCAGTTTTCCTCAATAATATTTTGAAAGATGCTGTCCGGGTCCTTCTTTTGATTATGGCTTTCAGGTAATCCAATGATTTTGATGTTGTCTCTCCTGGATAAATTCCCATGTCAGTTGATTTTCCCATGAGCTTTTTTTTTTTACATTTTCTTCTATTTTTTTCATTCTTTTGAATCTGTTTGATTGTTTTATTATGTCTCATAAAGCAATTAGTTTCCATTTGCCCAATTCTATCTTTTAAGGTGTTGTTTTCCTCAATTAATTGTTGTACTTTCTTTTCTATCTGGCCAATTATACTCTTTAAGGAGTTGTTTTCTTCAGTGGAGTTTTGTATCTCCTTTTCCATTTGGCCCATTCTACTTTTTAAGTAGTTTTCCAAGCTATTGACTCTTTTTTTTTCATAATTGTCTTTCATCATTCTTATTCTTTTCCCAATTTTTCTTCTACCTTTGTTATATGATCTTTAAACTCCTTTTGGAGCTCTTCTATGAGTTCTTTCCAGGCTTGAGATCACTTCCAATTTTTCTTTAGGGGTTTGCCGATAGGTTTTTTGACATTGTTGTCTTCTTCTGAAATTGTGTCTTGGTCTTCCCTGTCACCATAATAACTTTCTGTGATCTGATTCTTCTTTTGTTGTTTTTGCTGCCTTTTTTTGGCCTTTTTCCTTTCTTCTAAATTTGAGTTCTGCTCCCAAAGTGGAAGGGGCTCTGTCTCAGGCTTTTTGTTCCAGTGGCTGCAGGCCCTGGCTCTTTATCTAGTGCTGTGCTGATGTTGCGCTGAGCCTCATGGGGGAACCCTGATGTCTGGTGCTGTGTTGAGGATGTAGCTGGCACTGCTGGAGATTATAGGGGTCTGGCAGTTTACCTGGTGCTGAGATGGGGGCCTAGTGATGGCGGCCAGCATGTGCTGAGGCCCGGTGGGATTTTTCTGCCTTTCTCCGGGGCTACAGTGAAGCATGTTGAGGTCTGGCTACTGGAGTATACCTGTTTGCCCTGGGCTCTGTTGAAGCATGTGGAGGTCTGGGCTACTTTCTTCTCACACTGGAGGATGCCTGTTTACCCCAGGGCTATATTGAAACACATGATAGTTCTGCCAATTCCCTTGGCTATACTAAGGCACAAGGGGAGAGGGATCCTGGTATTGGTGTTTGCCTGCTTCAGCACTCTGGGGTTCAGGATATCCCACAGGTTTGCTGAGATAAGGTTTGCTGCTAGCTTGCTGGGACCCTTCCAGTCCTGGAATGTACTCCCCTTCTACCCAAGTGAGATGAACCTTTCTTGCCAATCCTCCAAGTCTCCCAGACTTAAAGACCACTCTACCCCATCATTCCATTGGCTCTAGCTGTTCTTGGATTTATTTGAGTATAGTATGTTATGATTGTTAGGTGGTGAATATGAAAGAACTACAGCAATTTACTTCTTACTCTGCCATCTTGACTTGATTCAAAATCTTAAGGAAGAAAATAACTCCTTGAAAATTAGAACTTGGCAAAAGGAAGTGAATGACATTATAAGACACCAAGAAACAACAAAATAAAATCAAAAGAATAAAAAAAGAGAATATGAAACATATCATTAGAAAAACAACTGATCTGGAAGACAGATCCAGTAGAGACAACACAAGAACTGTTGGACTACCTGAAAGTTATGATTAAAAAAAAAAGAATCTTGATGCAATATTACAAGAAATTATTAAGGAAAATTGTCCTAGAGTGCTAGAATAAGAAGGTAAAGTAGAAATAGAAAAAAAAATCCACTGTTTACCACTTGAAAGAGATACCAGGAGGAAAACTTATAGGAATATCATCCCAGGTTAAGAAGAAAATGTTATAAGCAACAAGAAAAAAAATAATTTAAATATTGCAGAGCCTTGCCAGTAATCTTGGAAATAGCTAGGAGAACAGGAGAGGAGCCATAGGACCAGGAGTAAGAAAATTGTGTATAGATCCAAACCCATGAACTTTACATCTCTTCCTGGAAAAATTCTAGGATGTATTATTAAAAAGATGGTTTATGATTTTTCCATAGAATTATACCAAACTAATCTCATTTCTGTTTGTGATAGAGTAACTAGATTCATAAACCAGAGGGATGCTGTATAGATAGTAGACTTAGATTTTATATATACATCCATCTCTCCCTCTCTCTATATATAGAGATATATAGAGATAGAAATACATATATATCTACATCTATAATACAAATATGCACATATCTATATTGAGGTATATATACATGGTCCAATATGCATGTTATTTGCATGCATGTATGTATAAATATAAATACTCATGTATTTGTATGTATGCACACATATACAACATTAACATATAGTAATAAATACAGATATCTACAAAATTCTATTTTTTTTTAGGCAATTGGGGTTAAGTGACTTGACCAGGGTCACACAGCTAGTAAGTGTCCAAGTGTTTGGTCTGAGACTGCATTTGAACTCAGGTCCTCCTGACCCTAGGGCCACTGCACCACCTAGCTGCTCCTACAAAATTCTTAAATACAAAGTATTTGTATTTGGGGGAATACTTAAAGGTTAAATAGTGAATAGATGCTTGTGCTGCATCTTAAAGGGAGATAGAGGCTATATGAGGTAGAAGTAAAGAAAGAGTGCATTTGAGGCACAAAAGATAGCCAACATAGATCTATAGAGACTGAAGATGAAGTATCTTGTATGTGAAACAGAAAGAAGGCCAGTTTGGTTGCATCACAAAAGAAGAGAGATGAAGCAATGAGGCTATAAAGTTATGTTGGGACCAGGTTGGGTAGGGCTTTAAAAGCTAAAAAGTGGAATTGATGTTTGATCCTAGAAGCAATAGGAAGCCACTAAGGTTGGCTGAGTAGAGGAGTCACACAATGAGGTCTATGCTTAAGGAAAATTACTTTGTCTATAATGTAAAGGATAGACCTGAATGTGGAGACTTGAGGCAGGGAGACCAATCAAGATGCTGCTGAAATAATCTATGCAAGATGAGAACTTCTCTTGCTGTAGTTGAGGTTGGATAATTCCAATTTTGTGAGAAGTCATTGAGACTTCCTTTAGCTATGTTCAGTGACTTGTGAGTAGGAGCAGAGGAGACAGATGATGGGAGTAATTCAGCACTCAAGTTTGCCAAGAGAAGACCAGCAATAGGATGAGAGGTCAAGGGATTAATTACATATTTGGAGCAAAGAAATACTGTCTGGATAATGGTACAGTTAGGCCAATTTAGAAGTTTTAAAACCAGTATATTCAAGAGTGATACATCAATAAAAACCTAGAAGGCAATATTTTAATGTCATGTTTTACTTATTTTTGTATGTTTTTAAAGATTTTTACATGACATTAATTTCCAAGTATATACTTCTATGTTCTTTCCCAAACCATTGAGTCATTCTTGAGCAAAGATGAAAAAAGGAAGAAAGATTTAGAACATGGGTTCTTAATCTGTTGTCCCTGAATTTTTTTTTGATAACTGTATTTCAACATAATTGATTTTCATTGTTAAACTTATATCTTTTATTTTATGCACTCAAAACATTGTTGGTAGAAAGGATCCACAAGTTTATCCAAACTACTAAAGGGATCAATGATTTAAGAAAGGGGCAAGAGGCCCTGGCTAGAGCCTAGAGTAAGGTCAGTATTTGGATTGGGGTTTGAATCCAGGACATATGTAGAATTCAATGCTCAGAAAAGGACAACTTTCAGACATTATGTTGAGAAAGATGTTTGGGGGAATGGTTGGAGAGCAGGTTGATTTGTGGGGAAGAATAATTGTGGGGAAGTATTAAAAGAGGAACAAGCTTGAGGTGGGATGTCCTTGGGATGTCAGATTTTGGGGAACCCTTCTATGTAAAAAAAAATGTTCAGCACTGATGGCAAGGGAGAAGCCTCACCCTGAGTAGGTCCAAGGAAGGGCCCTAGAACTTCCTCTCTTTTGGGACTAACCTTCCTTTAATGTGCTAATCTGGGTTATTGACAGAAATGTCTTGGAATGGCAGCTGCAGATTGGTCCAGTACTTGGAGCACCTGACAGATGAAGAGATGAAGAAATTCAAGTTGTTCCTTTCAGACTCTCTTCCCCGAGGACGCATGGAAAATGCTGGTCGGACAGACATGGCCACGTTAATGGTTGACCATCATGGACAGCAGGAAGCATGGGACATGGCTGTCAGTATCTGGGAGAAGATGGGTCTAACAGAACTGTGGAAGCGAGCTAGGACAGAAGACTCATTGATTTGTAAGTACAGTCAGAAGCTTAGGGCTACTGAAAACCTACTTTGTTCTCTTACCCATCTTCCTCATCATCTAACCATTGTTCTCCTTTTTTGGTATTTCCCCCTTTCCTCTTTCTCCTCTCTCATGTCCATTTCCTGTCACATATCCATCTTCCATATTTTCCACATTCTTCATTTCCCCCTTTTCTGTTTCCTTTCCTCTTCATCTTAATCTCCCTTTTCTCTCCTGCCTTCTTTGTCTTCTTAATACTATTTGGGTCTCTCCGCTTCTTGCCAGTTCCCTAGTCACTATCTCAATCTTTCCCCTGTGGTCTCTTCTTTTCACATTTCTCTCCTTCCCTTTCTTGTTTACTTCTTCACAAAATCATAGAATCTCAAGGCTGGAAAGCAGTTCAGAGACCCGTTAGTTTAAACCATATGTGAATGAGAATTATCTCTATGATATACCTGAGAAGAGGTGATCCATCTTTTTCTTCATAAAGAATACAAACACCCAGCAACCTCCTGATGTAGCTCATTCTATGTCTTCCTTTTGGGGATCTCTAAATGGTGAAATAACTGGTGGGCCATGTTCAAATTTTTTCCTCAACTGCAGTGAATTTTCCTCTCTAGTACAATAGAAATAGAATAATTTCTGTCCCCAGGGAATTTGGAACTTCTTGAGGTTGGTTTGGCTAGAAGCATTTTCACTTTTAAGAATTCCTATAAGAGGTCTCTGTAAGAGGATCTGAGCATAACCCCAATGTAGAAGGACAGGCATAGGGATAAATAGTGAAGCAAGCAGATAGATTCAAAGGAGGAGTGTACAGTATGGAAAAATGTGGGAAGAGAGAAGGTTCTGTCATTGTTTGGCAAAGAATATCATTACAGTGGTAATCGTGGCAGTGGGGACAAAAAATTGACTAGTCAATATTTTTTCGTCATTGACTAATAATTAATAATACTTTACATTTATACAGGATGTCCCAAAAGTCTAAGTATAACCTTAAGCTATCACAGTTTAAAGCTGCACTAGGATTTGTAAGTGTATGATTTTGTGGTTTACAAAACATTGTGCTCCTAATATCCCTCTAAGGTTAGCAGTGGCTTGCTTATCATCTCAAAACTAGTAAATGGCAAGGCTGGCACTGAAACCCAGGTTTCCTGATTTCAGGTACAGTGATTTTAGCACTATAATATACTGCCCTATTCCGAGGTGGTGTATGTCGGTGAGGCAAGGAAACATACAAAGTTGAAAAACACATGGTGCTGCTTCAGTCCACCCTCTACGAAACTGTACCTGTCACTTTCCTAGGCTTCTGAATGACTTGAGTTCAGTGTATTTATTTTTATTCCCTACCTCTTAAATTCAAATTCTTGCTAAATGATGTCAGTGGTCATCCCAGAAAGATGAAAGACCACTCATGCATAAAATGTGTTTGATGCCAAATTTATTGCAATGAAATTTTGTAATACAATTTTGGTAGCACAGCAAAACCCAGGGATGTTCTTACACCTTGGGCCTCTAGGTACTTGTGGACAGGTAAGGCACAGGGCAAATTTATCACAATTTAAAGCTCTTAGAGGCAGGAAGTGAACATTTAGGAAAAGATGAAAGTCTCTAGATCACCAACTGTCCTTCACACAATCTTGGGATGGGTGGAACTACACAGGGATGTAGTGAGGCTCAAATGAGACAATGCATATAAAGCACTTTGCAAATCTTAAAGAACCATATAAATGCCTTGATGATGGTGATGATGATGCCTCCAGTCTGGTGAAGGCTTCATTCCCTGAGTTTTCTACTGACCTCCTGCTGAGCAATAGAGTAATACCGTGGCCTTCTGGAAAATACTTAACAACCAGCTATAGCATGGTGGTGGATCTATAGGTATACATTTCTAATTGTAATCTGCATTATTAACATTTCTTAAATCTAAACCATTAACAAAATGATAATTCATGTTTTGATGCATGGCCTTTGCTACTTAATGAAGTATAAATGCTTATACTGAAGAACCAGACTGAACTACCTCCAGAATGCCCCTGGAATAGGAGAATGAAAGGGAGCAGGTATAACCCATGAGGTTGGTTGGCCCTACCCAGAGAGAGAAAAAGAGAAGGGAAAGGAAAGGCTGTCACTTCCTCTCCTCCCAGCCCACAGTCAATCAGCAGGGCAGATTCCAAAGAGTTCATTCGTAGTATGTGTTTAGATCATCTCAATAACCTTTGTATATTTCCAAATAACTCAAACAGCTCGGTATATAGTGGAAAGAGATCTGCACCTGGAGTCAAGAAAGTCAGAGTTCAAATCTAGCCTCAGATACTTCCTATCTGTGTGATCTTGGCCAAGGCACTTAACCTTTGTTCACCTCAATTTCCTAAGCTATAATATGGGGTTAATAACCGCACCTACTTCCCAGTTGTTGTTGGGAGGATAAAATGAGATAATATTTGGAAAGTACTTAGTGAACCTTAAAGAGCTATACGAATGCTAGCTATTACTGTTATTAATTCTTTACCCATATGTATATCCTGTTATGGTAGAAATGAATTAAATTGAGATGCGAAATTCCAATCACAATCAAATTGTTATTTAGGCTTTTTGCTGAATCGTTTCAGTTATATCCAACTCTTTATGATCTCGTTTGGAGTTTTCTTCGCAAAGATACTGAAGTGGTTTGTTTTTTCCTTCTCCAGCTCATTTTACAGATGAAACTGAGGCAAACAGGGTTAAGTGAATATAGAACAATTTACCCAGAAATTGTTTAGCTATAAAATAAGAATTTTCAAAAGTGGGGAAGTGTGGAGCTCATGGTTTATGAGATTGGTTGAACTGGAAAGTATGTGGATTGGTCAATAAGTTTCTTTTACATATCAAGCTTTGTCACTTCCACATTATTCAAAAAAATCTTCGCTGACTTCCTGTTACATCCAAATTATACTTCCTGGGGTATTTGAACTGAAAAATAAATAAATGTTAATAATTATATTTCAATATAATTATGTATTTTATATCTCTGTATACTTTGCGATCCTATGTATTTTATACATTAAAACATTGAAACAATAAAAACATTATTCTGAGAAGGAATCCATAGATTTCACTCGTCAGCCAAAGGACCCATGAATCAAACAAATAAACAAACAAACAAAGAAAAAGTAAAGAAGCTCTGTTCTAAAATAAAATACAATCTCCTTCTTTTGACATTTAAAGTCTTTTGAAACCTGACTCCAACCTACTTTCCAGACTTATTTCATGTTACTCCCTCTTTACCTTGCCTACATTCCAGTCTAACTTGTCTGTTTGCTGTTCCTCAAGCTCAATATTCCATCTACTTTCCTTATACCTTTACACAAGGTGTCACATAATTCCAAGATTCATTACTGGTTTACCACCAAATTTTAAAATCCCTAGTTTCCTTCGTAACAATCCTGGGAGGTTGGTACTCATCAAGTAATTCTGGTAAAAGTTAACATTTTTTGAGTCTCAGACCACTTTGGCAATCTGTTGGAGCTGATGGACCCTTTATCAGAATCCTGCTTTTTTATTAATTTATTTTGATTTATTAACAATCACTTCCATAAGCTTTTGAGTCTTAATTTTTTCTCCCCCTTCCACCCCTCCCCTCCCCCAGAAGGCAGGCAGTCTGATAGAGGTTATACATATACATTCCTCTTAAACATGTTTCCATATTAGTGATATTGTAAGGAAGAATTAGAACCAATAGGAGGAACTACCAGAAAGAGGAAACAAAACAAAACAGAAGAAAAAAAAATAGCAAATAGTATATTTCAATCTACATTCAAACTCCATAGTTCTTTCTTTGGATGTGGATAGCATTTTCCATCATGAGACTTTTAGAGATGTCTTAGATCCTTGCATTGCTGAGAAGGGCTATGTCTATCAATGTTAGTCATCACACAACATGGCTGATACTGTGTACAATGTTCTCTTGGTTCTGCTCACTTCACTAAGCATCAGTTCATACAAGTCTTTACAGGTTTTTCTGAAGTCCACCTACTCATCATTTCTTATAGCACAATAGTATTCCATTACATTCATATACCACAACTTGTTCAGCCATTCCCCAATTGATGGGCATTCCCTCAATTTCCAATTCTTTGCTACCACAAAAAGAGTTGGTATAAATATTTTTGTACATGTGGGTCATCCTTTTCCCATTTGTATGATCTCTTTGGGATATAGCCCTAAAAGGACTATTGCTGGGTAGAATCCTGTTCTTAAATGCATAAAATAAAACACACAGGAGTATAAAGGAAAGCAACTATATTGGAATATAGTCATTAATATATATTATATGTTTTATATATATATATATATATATTAATGTTCACAGACCCCAGGTTAAGAATCATGAAACAGAATAAAGGTCACCCTAGAAGTTGGAGAAATGCCCCATGTTTTCCAAAGGTAGGACCACAACTTATGCCCATGTTACCGCTGGGGTAAGGGGTTAGATAATGAATTGTATATTAAAGAAACAAGTCTAATCTCAACATGCATTATATGTTTTTTAGATACTGCAGAAACTCTCAAACAAGGTGAACAGGGACTGATGAAGAGCAATGATATGTTCCCAGAATCAGGTTTGTTGTGGGAAAAATCCTTTGGGGATGGGGTGGGGCATATAAATAAAGTGATTGGGAATTCCTTGGAGCCCTCATCTCCCTAGGCAATTCTCCTCCACTGCCTACCTATCTCACCCACTGTGCCTGAGAGACTCAACTCAACAATTCAGCAATTCCAAGACTCTTAATAGGGTCAAAAGCACACCAATATTAATGTGCCCAGAGTCATTAATAAGAAATTTTTTCACCTATGTGTATAAGGGAGAATTGGAGAGCAATGAGTCAGTGGCAGCACAGAGATCATTCTGATTCTTAATGGAGATACCAGAGGAGAGGGGATGTTGTGAACCTTGGCCCTGTGCCGGTCGCGCTGTGCACTCTCCTCCTATAAGGAGCAGGCTGCCAGAGTCATACTTACCAGTCTTCGGTGCCCACCCGGATAAACACAGAGACGAGCTGATCAGGAGGTGCAAACAATCGAGCTTTATTCAGAGGCCATCACAGCAAGGCCAAGCAGGAAAGCAAGAGCAAGAGAGCAGGAGCAAGAGAGAGCGAGCTCCGATCTCTACTGTTCCTTAAGTACCTACTTAGCCCCTCCTCCTCAGCCCGCCTACTATTGTAGGATCAGATACCGGAAGGGGATGTCTGGGGTTAGCGCTGCACCAAGGGAGAGGATGTGACTCAGGAGGCTAGGACCGGATACAGGAAGGAGGCATCTGGGGTTAGTGCATAGACAAAGGGAGAGCATGTGACACAGGAAGTCAGGCCCAGATACCGGGAGGAGGATTCTGAGGTCAGTGCTACACAAAGGGAAAGTACGTGACCCAGGAAGTCAGGAAGGAGACGTCTGGGGTTGACGTTGCACCTAGGGAGGGGACTAGACAAAGGGAACTCGTTCTCTACCATCCCACTCCCATGTGGCACAGCCCCCTGCCTCAGGAGCACGTGCTCCGGCTACTTCCTTGTATCCTGTTCCTTCCCCAGCTATCACAGCTCCACATAACACTGCCCACTGCCTCGGGAGTGTGAGCTCCAGTTACTTCTCCATATCCAGTTTCCATCCCAGTTCACCACAACTCCGCCTAGCACAGCCCCTGCCTCGGGAGCATGAGCTCCGGTTACTTCCTAATACCCAGTTCCTGCCCCAAGTTGCCACAACCTCCACTTGGCAGTAGCCAACATCAGACAATCCCTCACAGGCCTCATAGAAGTTGAAAACAGTAATAGGCCCCTGGAGGCGATAGCCCAAGGTAAACTGTGCTGAGGAATGCCAGTAGCAAAGATCTAAAGTAAGTCAGGTGGGTAGTAGAATCTCTGGAGAGAATGTCCAACTTCCCAGGGAGCAAGGATACTCCTTCAAAGGTAATACCCAAGAACTAGGTGCCATTTGTCCCACAATAGTTATGCTTTTGAATATGCCATAGTCCTAGATGGTCTGTGGGCCAACAAAAAGAATCTTGAGAATTATGTAGGGCTTGCCCTCTAGGAACATATAGTTACTCCCCAATTCCTTCCTCATTTTACTGACAGTGTGGATGGGAAAGTATAGTCTCTACCTGGGGGAATTTTTTTTTAGCTCTGAGAATCACACCTATAGGGAAAGAGGACATGCCAAAGTCAAGGAATAAATTACATAAGGAAATAAATATTTGAACTAAAAGGGTTAGATTACTAATGTTTTAAAAAATAATATTATATATGTGTGTATGGATGGAGAGACAGAGAGACAGAGAGACAGAGAGACAGAGAGATTTTATACCACCTAATGAGCTCATACAATTTGAGTCATAACAGTAACAAAAACAGAGCAATGAGCAAAGCCAGAGCCGTTTTAGAGGACAGCAAGAAGGGTGCTCTGGTTGCATAGGAGAGTACATTTAGGGTATCAGTGGCAGATTCATTTCTCGATGTGTACCTCCCCATCCCCCACTTCTATCTATTTAACTGTCTCTTGCTTTGTGTAGATGCTCGGCTTCCTATGTGATTTCTTATACACTGGGACTCAAAGGCGTTTGGTTTCCCATAGATCTAAGAGGCCCCTCAAGCAAGCACTTATTAAGGATCTGCTATATGCCAGGCACTATGCTAATGTTGGGGACACAAAAACAAAAATGATACGGGTCCTATGCTCAAGAACTTACATTTTATTAAAAGCGGCAACATGTACATATGTAATTATATATGTATATATATATTTGTATGTATATGTATGCATATATACATACACACATATATGTGTCTGCGTGCATCTATATCTGTGTATACACATTACATAAATGCTTACACACAATAAGTACCAGACAGTTGGACAGGTTAAGGAAGGAGTACGTTCCACCAGTGTTGCACAGCTAGTGCAGCAGCTCATAAACCGGAGATAGTGTCATGTGTGAAAAGAAAGGTCAGTTTTACACGGGAGGATAATAATGTATAATAAGCCTGGAAAGGTAGATTGGAACCAGATTAGGAAAGATTTTAGGAATGAAACAGAGGAGTTTATATTTTATCCTGAAGACAATAGGAAACCGCTGTATTTTATTGAGTTCAGCAATGACACTTCCAGACCTTTACTTTAGGGAGAAAATGGCTTTAGTAACTTTGTTGAAGATGAATTGGAGTGAAGAGAGGTTTAAGGCAAGGAGCCCGGTTAAGAGACAATTTTTTATAATACAGGTGAGAGGTAATAAAAGCTTAAGTCAGGATGGTAACCAAGTAGTAGAGAGAAGGGTACAGATGTGAATGATGTTACTGAGGTAGAACTTTAAAAAACTAAACAAAGCATTTTGGCTAATGATTGGATGAATGAGGTGAGAGTGAGATATTAGGGATAATTCTGAGGTTGTAAACCTGAATGACCAGAACCAGAAATTTAGGAAACAACAATTGAGTTTGCCAGCAAGGAAACCCCACTCATGTGAGGGGAAAACTCCTCAAAGAAAAAAAGGACAAGACTTAAATAGATTTCAATTTAGGCAGGAGGTGAGTTGGGCATGGGGAATCTCGATTGGACAGAGTTTGATGCTGGATGCTTGCAGAATATGAAGAGGTGATGTAATATTCCTTCATTGGAAAAGACCTGCTGCTGGAGCTAGTAACAGGAAAGGTTCTTCTTCAGGTTACTTATCTTGTGACCCCACCCTAATAGATAGGACTATTTCAGATACTAGCTGTTTCAGCAGAAAGGTTGAAGACAGGGGAGGGGAGCAGACTGCAATACAAAAGGGGTCTGTGGTAAGATGGAAATAGAGAAAAATTGAGTTGCTTTGGTTTTCTCACATGCCCATACACTCAAAAAAATAAAAATAAGAAGGTTTATCTGAAAAGCAGGTTTTGAGTAAAAGATGATGAGTTCTGTTATAGATATGTTAAATTTAAGTTTTCTATAGAATATTCTATTTGAAATGTTTAATAGACAGCTTGAGATACAGGAGTAGATTAGAGCTAGATATGCATACATACACATGCATGAATTAACAAATGTGTGGCTATATTGATATAGACATAGGCCGATCAGGATGTCATCAACACAGAACTTATAAAACCATAAAAACTGATGGGGTCACCTAAGTGAGAGAATGGGGAGAGAAAAGAGGGCAGAGGACAAAGCTTTGGAGATACATTCCTAGTTAAGGGGCATGACATGGATTGAAATTCAGTAAAGAGGGGGAACCAAGAGAGATCAGTGTCATGAAAATCTAGAGAGGAGAGAGTATCTGGAGAGAAGGTGGTATCCAGAGAAGGTGGTGAACAGTGTCACATGCTTCATTGAGGCTGAAAGGATATGAATTTTTAAAAAAAATTAATTTTATAATTTAATAATTAACAGATTTAATTTAATAATTAACAGATCATTGATAAGTTTCAAAAAGGTGATTTCACTTGAGTGATGAGGTCAGAAGCTAGATTGTAAAGGTTTGAGAAATGGATGAGAAGAGATTTGGAAACAGATGGAGACATCTATTTCTATCAGTTGTCTGAAAGGGAGGAGACAGCTTCAGAGAACTGTAGGGTTCTAATGTGAGGTAGTTTTGTTTGTTTTGTTTTTAGGATGGGGAGACTTGGATGTGTTTGTGACACTTTGGAAGAACTCAATAGATAGACATTGAAGATTAGAGGGATGTGTGATAATTATGGGAGCAAGCTGCACTTGTTAACATATATGTGTATTCTTCATAATCATGAATTAGTCCAGGTGTACCCGGTGCAACCCATTATAACACCAGACCTGTCTTAGTGTCACCATGAAAAAGGGTCATTGCTTTTGCAAAAGTTTCAAGAGTCCATTAAAAAAAAAGAATATGTGATGAGAAAATGACCATTTGTAATATGCAAATAAGTAGATGAAACAGTACGAGCAAAGAGAAAGAAAAACTTGACTTAACAAAATAAGAAACAAAGTAAAAGATATTGATGTGGATACCAGAGCTTATTTTTTTTTTTAAATTTAAGCAAGCTTTATTGATGCCTTTTGATTTTAGGCCAATCATTTTTAGAAACACCATCCCCATCCTCACTCCTCAGATAGAGCCCTCCCTTGTAACAAAGAAAGAAATAAGATAAAATACCATGTAGAGTGACTGTGTACAACAATGTCCAAAATATTTTGATGTGGTAGTACTCCACTTCTCATGAGAAGGCAGGTAGGTTTTCATATCTGTTCTTTGGAGTCTTCATTGGTTTTTTTAATTACTCAGACTTCCTTTTAGTGAACTTTTCATTTATACTGTTGTAGTCATTGTGTATTAGAAAACCAGAAAATTTAAAAATAATAAATCCAAGTCTCAGAGGCTTTTCAAAATGCAATGGAAATTTTTATTTTATTCTTTAAAGTTCATATCTATGATGCCTGTTAACTCATTTGAATACCACATTTTCAATCTCTCCATTTTTTCCCCTGGAATACCACAGTTTTTGATTAATTTTGATTCCTTTCATTGATTTAGGTAATAGACAAAAGTACAGAAGGCGAATGAGAGAGAAGTTCCAGTTGCTGAGGGATAGGAACTCTCGTCCTGGAGAACATGCAAACTTACACCACAGATTCACACGGCTGCTTCTTCTCCAGGACCATCGTCACAAGGAACAGAAAGAGCATGAGCTCCTGGCCAGCGGATGGCAACATGCTGAGATAATGAAGCAGAGAGGGCAGTTTTTAATGGTGACAGCTTTATTCGACCCTGATGAGAAGACAGGAGTTCATCCACGGACAGTTGTTCTTCAGGGGGCTGCTGGGATTGGGAAAACAACCCTGGCCAGAAAGGTGATGCTGGACTGGGCAGAGGGAAATCTCTTCCAGGACAGGTTCCACTATGTTTTCTATATTAGTTGCAGAGAAATGAATCAGTTGGTGAAAAGAGAAATAAGTTTAGCAGATTTGATTGCTAATGATTGGCCTGGCTTAGAAGTTCCCATAACTGAGATCATGTCCCGCCCAGAGCAATTACTATTCATTGTTGATGGTTTGGATGAACTGAAATTTCCCTGTGATGAGCACAGGTATGATCTCTGTAGAGACTGGAGACGGCAGTGGCCAGTGCACATCCTCCTGAGTAGTTTACTGAGGAAAGTCATGCTTCCCGAAGCCTCCTTATTAATCACTGCAAGATTCACTGCGCTGGGGAAATTTAGTTCCCTATTAGAGACTCCACGCCATGTAGAGATCCTGGGATTCTCTGAGGAGGAGAGGAAGGAATATTTCTGTAGATTTTTCAGAGATGAAGATTTAGCCCAGAGGGCTTTTAGTTTGATAGAAGATAATGAAATCCTGTTCACTATGTGCTTTGTCCCCTTAGTGAGCTGGATTGTCTGTACTTGTCTGAAACAACAGATGGAGAGAGGACAAGATCTGTCACAAGTTTCCCAAACTGCCACTGCCCTGTACATATGCTATCTTTCCAACTTATTCACCCCTGGTGAAAGAATATGTTCGAATCAGACCTTGAGAGGTCTGTGCCAGTTGGCAGCTGAGGGAATCTGGGGAAGGAAAATCCTATTTGATGAAGAGGATCTCAGGAGGCATGGACTACAGGTAACTGACGTCTCTGCCTTCCTAGACATGTACATTTTTCAGAAAGACAGTGGCTGTGAAAACTACTACAGCTTCATTCACTTGAGTTTCCAAGAATTTTTTGCTGCTGTGTTCTACGCACTGTGGGGTGAGAAGGTGGGAAGCAAGAGTCCTGTTGCTGCCCACGCAGGGGTCAAAGGTGTTTTAGAAGAGTGCCAGGAGACTGACTCCAGTTTTGTGACACTAACTGTGCATTTCTTGTTTGGCTTCTTGAGAGCAGAGACAGCAAGGAAGCTCGAGGAAATATTCAGTTGCCAGATGTCACAGGAAATAAAATTAGAGTTACTGCAGTGGGTACATTCAGAAATTGAACGGTGCCAAAAGTCTTCCCTTCCTGGGCAAGTGCTAGAATTAATGGCCTTTTTATATGAGGCACAGGATGAAGAGTTTTTAACAATGGCAATGCATCACTTCCAGGAGATTACTTTAAATATCCGTACCAAGATACAATTCTTAATTTTAGCTTTTTGCCTTAAGCATGGCCATGAGGTATGCAGAATTCACCTGGATATAAAGTAAGTAACAAAATTTCTTTTCACTCTTGCTCTCACTCTCTTACTCTTGCCTCTGTAGAACTGAAAGTTGGTTAAAGAGACAACAAGCTAGGTGATAAGTACATCCATATTGTTTTATTCCCTTAAGTTAGTGCATGTACGTGGAATCAGAACTTCAACTCTGACTGACTCAAGCAATTTTTGGAGGACATTTAAACCCTGACTCAGGATGTCTGTGTTACTATGTTACTAAAAACAAAACAAAACAAAAGCAAAAAAAAAAGTTTCCATTTTTTTTTTTTAACATATAGCACGGGAAAGGAAGTTTCTTAGTTGAATAGGTTGTAAATACAATAAAATAGGAGAATGTCAAATGTCAATTGAAATTATAGATCCAGGATATCTGTGTTTCCCCTACATATGTCCATAGGATACAGAGATAAGAAAAGTCCTACCATTCAAGACAGCGTCTGGTCCCAGGCATCCTGTCCTTAGTGATCACAGACAGGAAGAATGCTGGTCAGTTCCATCCTGTGTAGTTGCTGACACAGGAAAGGGCATTTTTAGTTCACTCAGAAAAGATTAATTCAGGTTTTTGGCCCTTATTGGGGCTCAATTGATCTTAAATGATTATCATTTCCTCCTTTTTGTCAAAGGTAAGCTGAAGGCTTCACCTGTAGACCAAAGAAAGGTGTGGGAAAAACCTTCTTTTTCTTCAGGGGGTGGGAAGAAATGTGCACTTGGAACAGGTGTCTTCAGATGATCCTGGAGTCCACATCCAGAAGTTGGCAGCTATGGGAATAGTCACATAGACCTGATAGGGGCTCTTAGAAGATGTATGAGATGATAATTGAGAGAAAATAGCATAACATAAGTCCTTAGTTAAAGGCACATAAAGATGGTTTAGTTCCCCAGCCACACAGGGTTAGGTTCAAACAATACAACAAAGTTTTCTCATAGTTCACAAAATCGCATAATTACATCCAGTCAGGTACAGATTAAACTAGTCAGAGAACTCACAATAGACTAGTTTTGAGAAGAGAGATTTACATGTAACCAAGATAACCAAGAAACCTTAAACATGAACCATAAAAATCAGTATAATCATTATTACCAATGTTAACTAACATTAAGTTCCTTGCTCATGTACAATAGGTTTAATTCATAGGCAGTTCAAAAATGGAGTTCTGTTTCTCTGGTTTAGATCTAGAAGTTCCCAGATAATTCTGGTTTGGTATAAATTAGTATAGTCACTTAAATTTGGTTCTCTATTTTTGAAACTACAGTTTATATATCATCTGCTGCTTCTGTTCTTACTTACATCCTGTACCTGGTATAAGAATCTTTTAAAATGTGAGGATCCAACCATAAAATGAGCTCTCCTGCCTTTTAAAATTATAAGACAGGTACTTTAATAAAGGAGATATAATTTCACTTACTTTTACCACTAACCTATATAATTTTTGGTGTAAAAAATCTAAATTTGAGATCTTATTACCTATAAATGCTTAAAGCTTGGATTTTTATGATAGATACATTTTGGAAGCCAATCATAAACATCTGTATAAATTCTTAGAGGAATCAGTTTAATCCTGTTGATTTTCTCAAAATTTGCTATCCTATTTAATTAGATATCTATCACATTATATCTTTGTCTTATTACTTTGTCTAAACATTTCCTCCTTAGGAGGATGTTATCCCTATATTATTATTATTTGGCCATGAATGTAAGTTAAAATTGTAAGCTATTCATACTTGCATCCTATTATGGTAACTCAGAGATATTCCAGTATCCATCTATTATTTAATAAATTTGGTACTGTATTTACAGAGCTTCTTGATTATAGAAATTTGCTATAAAAGAAAATGAGGGACAATGTCATAAACCGTATCAGAAGGAAAGAACTTCCTTAGCTCTGTTTGATTCCAGGCATGAGTCATATTTGATAGCCAATCATGTAGTCACTGGATGTTAAAGGCAGGGCTCAGGATTAACCAGGTGGGGAATTTTTCCTTTTCAGAAAGGAAATAGCACAATTGGGAAATAGAGTCAGGAAGATCCTACCTAAACTGTGTCCTAAGTCATCCTCACAACTCTTCCCAGGTACAGACATCCACCTTTATCAGTTCTCAGCCTGTAGCACATGCTATTCTACTATTGGGTTCGTGACAATTCAGACAATTATCCCAGTAATCAAAGCTCACAACAACAGTAAGTTGCTGTCCCATAAAGTCACATATCCTGGATAATAAGAATTTAATCTCACATTGGTAACAGTTAAGAGATTGATCACAGAAAAATACTACAGCTGTTATAATTTCTTTAAACAATGGGAACATCTTAAGGTGAGTCTTCAGAAGTTTGTATAAATTTCTGCACATGTTCTAATTCCAGATTAAAAATAATATTAGATTTTCCATTTAGTTAACACAAAAGAGCTCATAAGTTACTATTCTTCACTAACATAACTATACTGGAACCCTATTCCTTAAATAAAACCAAGAGGTTACTAACTTTAACCTCACAAGTTGATGGATTTATATCCTCGTTCACAAGCTTGTTTATTCTTCTCTAATTATTCTCACTCTGGAAGAATAAGACCCTTCAGAATTTGAACCTTATACATACCAGTTCAAACACTAATTTAACTCTTGCTTAGGCCATGGAATGACTACAGATTCAGATCAAAACAGCAAGATCTCTTCTGCTTTACAGCTCATTACAATAATTTAGCAATAAATTACCTTGCAAATGAAAATTTAGTAGACCTTCAAAAAAATCGAACAAGACATTTCTTCTAAAAGTATTTCCCTTCTTTAAAAACAGTTTAAAATTTATCCTGATGTTAAGAAAAATAATCAACTAAACTTATCTCTCTTTTCTACTTTTAAGCAAAAATAAACCTTTAAAATTGGAATTCATTAAAATTAAGTTGATGTAAGCTGTCCTTAAGTAACATAAATAAATTCCTAAAGCACTATAACAAACTAAATTCCTAGTTATTACAGAATTCCTAGATATCACAAAGTTCCTTAGTCAAAAAGGTGTTTGTAGTGGAGAAAAAATTCAGTTTTTATAATGCATGAAGAACATACACAGTTAAATTAGCCTTATCACAAAAACAAATATTATCAAGCCTTTAAATATTTACTCAGTATTTTTTTCCTTTTGTCTTTAAATATATCACTGGAAATTAGGAAAAACTATTACATTCTGGAATCTCATGTAGATAGTGAATGTGGTAGGCCATAAATCTCCAAATTATCATATCCCCAGGATTCTCATTTACTCAAGAATTCCACAACACAGGAAACTTTTACACAGACTTAATAAGAATTTTAGATGAAACTTCCTCTTCAAGGTAAATAAAACTTGGAAGTTTATTCTAACCCATTCATTCTCCCGTTTTTTTTTTTTTGGAGGGGTAACAATTCTTGATCTAACATCTCTAGATTATAAGAGAAATTGCTTTTTCAACAACATAACTGTTACAATTTGTTTACCAGATTACACCATATAAAAAATTCAGAAATATAGCCATACCATAAGTGATTATCAGGTATTTAAAACTTGAAACAGAGCCAATTAATTACCTGCTTATAACCAAATATATCTCACTAAATGTTAACAGTTTTCAAATTATCAAATTTAATCACATCCTTTTAAAAGACCAATCCATATGCACCATTTCTACCTCACAATGGTCTCTCAAATTTTAGAATCTAAGAGAGTTTTAGAAATACAATACAATTTAGAAACATTGTAATAACATAAACAATTAACTTCAGATGACATCCATTGCATTTCCAGATTATCATATAAAGAAATTATTGATCTTATTACTCATGGTATTTAAAAATCACTTCAAAGTTATCAGGTATGGAACAATTACATTAAATTAGGGAGATAATAATAATGTTGTCTAACATATACCATTGTGTTAAGCACTTTACAATCATTATATCATTGTGATCCCATAACAACAACCATTATTATTTTTCCCTTTACAAATCAGGAAACTGGGCAAACAGAGATAAAATAACTTGCCATAAATTACAAAACTGAAACAGAGAAGTATGAGGCTTACCAAGAGCAGAAGTTGGCTTCTCACCTCATAATCCTATTGCCAGGCCTTCCAGGGGTTTGGGTGGCTGATACTAGGGCTTTCCCAGCGGTGATAATTTTTGGTGGCAGGGCTTAGGGAATGTCATCATAGTTCTGACCTGTCTACTTCTCCCCTCCCCATAGTTGCAGAATTTTGCTGTTTGCAGCCGCTGGGGCAGGGTGGGCAGAATGTATTGAACCTGGATGATACTCCCAGGCTTGCATAAGTGGGTAGGCTGTAAGGTGCCCAGGGGTACAGGGCTGATAACAGAGTATCATTGCTAGTTCTGTGATAGCTGCCCCTCCCCTCCTTTTACCAGATGGGGAAGGCTGATTTAAGTTTTCCCCAAGATTTTTTACCACTTTCTTTTCTTTTACAATCCCCATACTGAAATATTTATCTCTGAAGAAGGAGTGGGGAATGTGAGGAATCAGGATTGGGAGGAGGTGTTTTAGCAAAGGGTGAGCTCTGGGAATTACCCCCAGTCTCAGAAGTTTTCTCCAACAATCTCAACATGATCAATTTCCCAATTTCTTAATGATTAATCTCAAAACCTCTAGAATCTGCTAAGATGTCTTTAGCTGTATCTAACTTTTCACTGTAAGTCTAGGCTGGCCAGGCCTGGACCCATAAGGATAGGAGTTTTACAGGTTTGTTGTTTTCCTAGCTGCAGCCCTTAGAAGTCTCTGGCTGCCTGCACTTTAAATCTTACAAGGTACAGATACTGAGACACACACCGACAGACAAACTGACAGGACAAATACAATACAAATATAGTGACATAGTGCGCACTTAATGACAGAGAGAGGGAATTAGAGGCTTGTTAGAAAACCCCTGACAGGAATTGGCTATTATTATTATTCTGAAGGATAGGGAGTGGGGAGGATCCAAGACCTGAAAGAGTAACCAGATCTTGTAAGCCTTCCTCAGAGTGGCCCTGAGGTTGCATATTTAAAGGGGCAAGTTCCAATGAAGTTAAATTTAGGGATCTGAGCCTCCGTCAGGACCATAGCCGTTAAAGGAAAAGGGGAGGAGGAAGGGGATTAATTGGAGCCTGGGAAAGAGTACTGAAGCGGCTTTGTGAGCCTTAAGGAAAGAGGCTTCTGCCTTTCCTTCTCCCTCAGCCATCTCAGCAACCCAATGATGAAAACATTCCCACTTCTGGCTAGATGTTTTGTTGGCTTTTAAACTTGATTTGGTTTGAAGATAAAGTAACTTTGACCAGTCGAAAGAATCTCATATTGTGGCCAACATAATTTGGGGTTATCTTTAGTTAACTGACATCAGCGGTAGCAGTACTTGTGATCACCAATTGGCAATGGCTTGACATATAAGAGGAGGCCATCTTGTTAGCTGAATTTCTAGTTTTAGTTTCTGATTGACCCACAGCCAATTTCTCTAGATCAATCTTTACCAGAGGGGACCTAAATGATACAGTAGCCAGAGTTTCTGAACTTCAACTTGATCCCCAGCCCCAGAGCTAACTTAAAGGGAATTTTCTTTCGGACTTCAACCAAACTAGTGGGAGGTCCATGAAAGCTGGGAATAGGAGAAACTTACCAGACTCCATCAAGGTTAGGACTACAGGAAAAAACAGATCCTGAGGTGCCTGAGCCACTAGCATTGCTGGGGTAGGGTGTTTTCTCTTACTTCTTCAGTTCCAATCTGATGTCACCGCACCATTACAGTGAACCTGAAAGTTGGTTAAAGAAACAGCAAGCTAGGTGATAAGTAAATTCATACTGTTTTATTCCCTTAAGTTAGTGGAGTTAAGTTAAATACATGGAATCAGAGCTTCGACTCTGACTGACTCAAGCAATTTTTGGAGGATATTTAAACCCTGACTCAGGATGTCTGTGTTACTAAAAAAAATACAGCCTCCATATGTTTTTTTTTTTAACAATAGCATGGGAAAGGAAGTATCTTAGTTGAATAGGTTGTAAATACAATAAAATAGGAGAATGTCAAATGTCAGTTGAGATCCAGTATATCCAGGATATCTGTATTTCCCCTACATAACATATGTCCATAGGATACAAAGATAAGAAAAGCCCCA